CGTACCAGTGATGTCCAGCTTGAAAAGCGTTGGAAGCGTTCTGGTGTGAGTCCGCTCTTCTTAGTCTGAGTAATGAAAGTACCAACTTGTCGGATTTCAAAGTCCACTTCAGGTTCAACCAGCTCAAACGATTCATGTGTCTCTGGTTCCTGTAGTTTGTAAAGGAAGTCTGGTCCCTTAAACCACATAGTGTCCATGAGCTGCGATGCTGGTACCGACCTGGTTGCTAGATCAGCTGGGTTTTGCTCTGATGTAACATAATGCCACTGTTCAGGGGATGTGGACTGGCGTATACGATGAACTCGATTATGTACGTAGACGTAAAAGCGCTTTGAATTGTTGCAAATGTACCCAAGAACCACCTTGCTGTCACAGTAGAATTTGACAGTGTTTGGTTTATGATCAAGTTCATCCAGAATGAGCTCTGCCATCTCCACCGCTAGAACTGCTCCACAAAGCTCAAGACGAGGTATTGTGGGTTCTGGTTGAGGTGAAAGTTTTGCTTTCCCAAGCACAAATCCAACTTCACATTGTCCATCCGCGTTGACTGTTCTCAAATATGCAACTGCGGCAACAGCCCAGCTTGAGGCGTCACTAAAGACACATAGTTCAGTGTAAGTGGACTTGGAAAGGGAGGCCGGTACATAGCAGCGTGGCACTCTGAGGCTGCTCAGATCTTGGAGGGACATTTTCCATGTTTCCCATGCATCCATCTCCTCTTGGGGGAGAGAAGCATCCCAATCTTGGACTCCTTTTGACATTTTGCGTAACAAGAGTCTGCCTTTGATTGTCACTGGCGATGCTAGTCCTAAGGGGTCGAAGATGCTATTAATCACTGAGAGAACCCCGCGGCGGGTATAGGGTTTATCATCGACAGCTACCTTGAAGGTAAATGAGTCAGTGTTAATGTCCCAGCACATTCCTAAACTTCTTTGGGCCGGTAAAGCATCGTCGCCGAGACTCAAGTCTTTGATGCCGGAGGCCAAATCTTCTGGCTTGAATGCTTGCATGACTGTGACACTATTCGAGGCGATTTTGTGGAGCTTGAGGTTAGACTCAGCTAAGGATGCACATGTGCGCTTGAGCAGGTCGATGGCTACAGACTCTGTGGGAACTGAAATCAGCCCGTCATCGACATAGAAGTGTCTCCCGACAAAGTGTCTTGTGTCTGCTCCAAACTTTGCCTCACCTTCTTGGATGGCTCTTCGAAGACAATAGATGGCTACTGCTGGTGACGGGCTATTACCAAAAACATGTACCCGCATGCGGTACTCCTGCACCTCTTTTGACAAGTCATTGTCCTTGTGCCACAGGAACCTCAAATAATCTCTGTGGTCTGGTCTAACCAGGAACCCGTAAAACATCTGCTGGATGTCAGCGGTGGTTGCAATGAGCTCCTTCCTAAACCGAATCAGGACACCAAGGAGGGTGTTATTGAGATCAGGGCCTGTTAATAACACTGAATTGAGTGACACGCCGGACTGCTCGGCACTAGAGTCAAAGACCACCCGTATCTGACCGGGCTTCTGGGGATGATATACGCCGAAAATAGGCAGGTACCAGCACTCAGTGTTCTCATCAATGGGTGGCGCAATCTCTGCGTGGTTGTTTTTAAACAGCTTGTCCATAAATTCTGAGAACTGCTCTTTCATTTGAGGGTTTTTGGTTAAGTTGCGTCTCAGCGAGTTAAGTCTAGACAGTGCTTGGTCTCTGTTATTTGGAAGTGGCAAGCGAGGGGACTTGAATGGTAAAGGAGCAATCCAGTTATTGTTTCCATCCTGGTGGACTTCCTTTTCCATTATCTTAAGGAAGGTCTCATCCTCAAAGGACAGGGCATGCTGGTTGTCATACTCTGTGTGCTCAAAAACTTTCTCTCCAAGCTTTTCTTCTGCTGCGTTGAGTTTTGAACTGTGTTTTAAGAAGCTACTCTTGTGCTCCCCGCCATAGCATGGTTTTTCTTTGATCTTCATGCTGTTAGGACAAGGAGTGAGGAGAGATGGTCGTCCGTTAGACAGCACGTGAGTTTTATAGGCATTGACCGTTGGCCTGTGAGCATTGAGGCATACTTCCCCCACGATTACCCAGCCTAGGTCTAGGCGCTGAGCAAAGGGAGCGTTGTGGGGTCCGTTGACTTGTTGTCGTGCCTTGTGGACTTGTATGATGTCTCTGCCCAGTAAAACTGCAATCTGGGCTGCTGGGTCGCGCTTAGGTATCAGGGGAGCCAGATGTTTCAAGTGGGCATGGGCAAGAGCGACTTCAGGTGTAGGTATTTCATCTCTGTTAAATACTATCTCATCACATTCAATGAGAGGAGGAAGATCTAGACGTGGGCCTTCACCTATAGGCTCAATCTGGAACCCCACTGCTTTCCTGCCGAGCATTTGAGTTAAACCAGCACACGTTCTCATATGGTATGTCAGAGGGCTACCCTTGATTCCAAATAGCTCAAAGAATTCAGGACGTGCCAGCGAGCAATTGCTCTGATCATCAAGAATGGCGTACATCTTAACAGACCGTTCTGGTTGACCTTTAGGGAAAACTCGAACTAGACATACCTTGGAGCAAGAACGCGGAGGACAGCCTTCACCACAGATCTCAGTGCATCGTGACGTTACCTTGGGTAGAGTGTTGTCATGGAGCTGAGGCTCTGGTTCAGGTGCATTTTGTGGCTGGGGTTTTTGACCCGTGGCAGGGTGCATGGCAGAGCAATGTTTTTCACTTTGGCACTCCTCACACTTGACCTTCAGGTCGCAGTCCTTTATTGTGTGCATGGGAGAACAACAGCGAAAACATCGTTTGTGTTCTTTGAGTATGTTTTGTCTTTCTTGTAGTGGTTTGATCCGGAAAGCTCTACATTTGGCTAGAGGATGCGTTTTCTTGTGGACTGGACAATAACGTGTTAGATCATCCTCTCTGATACTAGCAGAGGCACTTGTATCAACCTCTGTTCTATTTACAGTTAGAGGTGATTTGTAGCTAGTTTGTTTGAATGGTGGTCTCTCACCTTTGTTGAGGGGTTGGCTGCTGCACGACACAAAACTTGGATCGTTTCTCGCTTTTGCCTCCTCTTGGACAAACTTTACAAAGTATGAGAATGGAGGGAATGTCACATTATAATTCTGTTTGTATTTTGAACCAGTGTGGAGCCATTTATCTTGTAAGCTTGGAGGCAGCTTTTCCACTATGGGCTTAACCCCGCGTGGCGAGTCGAGGTAAGCGAGGCCTGGGAGGTAGGCTTCGTCTTTAGCGACCTGCAGCTCTAGGAGCAAATCTCCTAGTTCCCTAAGTTTAACATTGTCTCTATTTGTAAGGCGAGGAAAACCGTCCAGTTTTTTAAACAGGGCATTCCCTACTACTTCAGGTGTAGCATAACACTCCTCCAGCCTATCCCATGACAACTGGAAGGCAGCTTTGGGGCTACTGGTATAAACAGCCCGGATTCTTTTAACATGCTCTGAGGACTCTTTACCGAGCCATTTGACTAGGAGATCTAACTGCTGGCTGTATGTAAGATCAATGCCTCCAGTTGCATTTAAGAATGAAGACTGCCATGCTCTAAAATTTTCGGGGTTGTCATCAAACTTAAAGAGCCCTGTTGTGATTAACTCTCTGCGTGCAAGGAACTTAGCAAAGTCAGCCATAGGTGTATCACTATTGTGAGGAGCATGGTGACTTTTCGGTTCAACATACTCTCTTGGTGGGCCAAAAGTTTCCTCCTCTGTGTACATTTTTGAGAGTACAGGTGGAGAGCAGGTTGGCTCCCTTGGAGTGAATGATGGTGCCTTTGCTGTCAGTTTGACTTGAGGTGTTGCTTCTTCAGCCGGGTGTGACTTTAGCTGGCTTTGATGTTGCACATACTCCATAGTTCTCTGTCTGGTAACTTGTGGTGGGACTGAACTTTTTAAACTTTCTCCTTTGTCTTGTTCGACAGCTGCGGCAGCTTCCAGGACCTCTGCTTTTACCTTAGCGGCTGCAGCTTTTTTTTCTATCTCTAATATCTGTAAATCCATTTCCAGGTTTGCTTGCTGCTTTTTAATTTCCAATTGTCTCTTACTGTACAAGGCTTTGGTGTTTGTAGCTTCAGCAGAAGCTCTTGCAAAGATGGCTGCTTCTAATACACTGGACCTTGAGGACAACTTGGAAGATGAGCGCTTGGAGCCAGAGTATTTGGATCGAGAGCTAGCTTCTGATGATGCTTTGTCTCCTGAGTTAGCCATTTCTTCTGCCTTCTCCCCGTGGGCATCCATCGCTGTGGCATAAACTTTATCTTCCACCAACTGCTGACGTGACTTTTCACTGTACTGTTATCGCTACGTGTTGGATACACCGTGTATGTTAACGCAGGTCAACAGCAAGCCAAACTCATTTTTCATGAGCCAGGAAACTGAGCGTCTTACTCCTTTATTACGGTCTTCTTGACAGCTTACAATCTTTTACAATTGTGGCTTGAATAGCTCGATGAAAGTGCTGAGTGAAACTAAAAATAAACCAGAAATAAAATACCATTTAGCTCTTTAACATGTGAAATAAATGCATAAAAAGAAATATCTATTAATATAAAACATGTTTCAAAGTTAGTCTTAGCTGCTAAGTAATGAAAACAGTAGTTTGAACAATCCTCTGATATGCAAATTAGGCCGCTAGCATCATTGCTATGTTAATAGACCATGCTCTAAGCAAAAGCCGTTTCTGGGATAAGGCTAATTCCTGGAACAAGCACAATCACAAAACGATCTCTAAATCAGCTGTTATGAACATATAAAAGAGCCAGAACATGTAATAAACTTACAGTCATTGCTTTCGATGATGTATATAAAGATTCAGGGCACAGGAGATGAAGTTTAAACACGGATAAGCAGGCTTTCTGTACAACGTTTTTTCCCAACTGACTGTAGCTTCTGCTTCCCACAATGCATTGTGAACACAGATTTCTCCTTCAAAATAAGATACAAACTAATGCTGACTGTATAGAAAATATTTTTTTTTAACTAAATGACTCTCTTTTTTAACATCAATTACCACAAATGAAATATGACGTTTTTATCACTAAATTATCATGAATCCTTTTTAATCTTTTACTTGGGACAGAACACTCCCCGCCTGGCATTACTGATGCCACCACTACTTTTTCTCAGTCATTTCCTTTTCTAAGAGCACAACAACATCTGAAATGGGACGCAGGTAAGTCTTTGAGACTCCCTGGGAAGATGTCCTCACTTCGACCTTTCTGACCTTCCCATCACGGCTTGGAAAGGTCGCAGTGACAATAGCCATTGTCCATTCGTTTCTGGGTGCTTGATTGTGTTTCAACAACACAATGTCGCCTGACTGAAGGTTGCGGTGTGTTCCATGCCACTTGCGCCTTGATTGGAGGGTGTTGAGATATTCGTTTCTCCAGCGACTCCAGAAACCATTGGCGAGTGCTTGCACTTGTTTCCATTGGTTTTTGAGCAAGTCTTTTCCACAAAAGTCTCCTGGTGGAGAAGGAACGCCCTGCTTTTGGGTCAGTATCATCGCAGGACAGAGTATGAATGGTGAGGAAGGGTCAGTTGAGATAGGGACCAAGGGCCTTGCGTTGATTATGGACGATACCTCAGCCATTAGGGTACAAAGCACCTCATGTGTCAGACGGGTGTGCTTGTTCTGCAAGAGCATTGAATCCAATATTCGGCGAGTTACCCCAATCATCCTTTCCCAGATGCCTCCCATGTGGGACGCATGTGGGGGGTTGAACTCCCATGTGCAACCGTTGGCGTGAAGATGGTTGACAATGTCGGGAGGGTTGTTGTTTGGTTGTGCCATGCCAAGCTCCACGCTTGCTGCGATGAAGTTGGTGCCCCTGTCTGACCGCATTTGCTTGGCTGGGCCTCTTATTGCAAAGAATCTGCGTATTGCATTTATGCAGCTGCAAGTGTCCATAGATTCAATGACTTCGATGTGTACACCTCTTGTAGTCATGCATGTAAAAAGTATTGCCCACCTCTTACTTTGTGCTGCGCCACCTCGTGTGCGTCGAGTGACCACTGACCATGGGCCAAACACATCCAACCCGACGTATGAAAATGGAGGGCATGTTTCAAGTCTTTCAGGCGGGAGATCTGCCATTTTTTGAGTCTCTAGTTTCCCCCTGAGTTTCTTGCATGTTATGCAGTGGTGGATGATGGATGAGACCAGTCTTTTGCAGCCTACAATCCACAGTCCAGCTTGTCTAACTGCACTCTCTGTGAACTGCCTTCCTTGATGCACAACCTTAGCGTGATAGTGTAGGACAATCAACCTTGACACATGGTGCTTGGTTGGCAGAATTTTTGGATTCTTTAACGCTGGGTCCAATGAAGCATGTTTGAGGCGACCTCCAACCTTGATGAGGCTTTCATCCAAGAAGGGGTCAAGGGCCACAATGGGGCTAGAGCTGTGGATGGTTTGACTGGTTTGGAGAGCAGCATACTCATCAGGAAAGGCGTCCTTTTGAACAGACTGGAGAATGAGGTTACTGGCGGCATCCAACTCCTCTGGAGTGCGTGGTTCTCTGCATCTATGCCAGCCCCTACATGAATGATTTGACGAGTTGCTTGATGAGTGAGAACGAGCTTGGTGAACTAAGAAGGCAATGGCACGTACCAGTGATGTCCAGCTTGAAAAGCGTTGGAAGCGTTCTGGTGTGAGTCCGCTCTTCTTAGTCTGAGTAATGAAAGTACCAACTTGTCGGATTTCAAAGTCCACTTCAGGTTCAACCAGCTCAAACGATTCATGTGTCTCTGGTTCCTGTAGTTTGTAAAGGAAGTCTGGTCCCTTAAACCACATAGTGTCCATGAGCTGCGATGCTGGTACCGACCTGGTTGCTAGATCAGCTGGGTTTTGCTCTGATGTAACATAATGCCACTGTTCAGGGGATGTGGACTGGCGTATACGATGAACTCGATTATGTACGTAGACGTAAAAGCGCTTTGAATTGTTGCAAATGTACCCAAGAACCACCTTGCTGTCACAGTAGAATTTGACAGTGTTTGGTTTATGATCAAGTTCATCCAGAATGAGCTCTGCCATCTCCACCGCTAGAACTGCTCCACAAAGCTCAAGACGAGGTATTGTGGGTTCTGGTTGAGGTGAAAGTTTTGCTTTCCCAAGCACAAATCCAACTTCACATTGTCCATCCGCGTTGACTGTTCTCAAATATGCAACTGCGGCAACAGCCCAGCTTGAGGCGTCACTAAAGACACATAGTTCAGTGTAAGTGGACTTGGAAAGGGAGGCCGGTACATAGCAGCGTGGCACTCTGAGGCTGCTCAGATCTTGGAGGGACATTTTCCATGTTTCCCATGCATCCATCTCCTCTTGGGGGAGAGAAGCATCCCAATCTTGGACTCCTTTTGACATTTTGCGTAACAAGAGTCTGCCTTTGATTGTCACTGGCGATGCTAGTCCTAAGGGGTCGAAGATGCTATTAATCACTGAGAGAACCCCGCGGCGGGTATAGGGTTTATCATCGACAGCTACCTTGAAGGTAAATGAGTCAGTGTTAATGTCCCAGCACATTCCTAAACTTCTTTGGGCCGGTAAAGCATCGTCGCCGAGACTCAAGTCTTTGATGCCGGAGGCCAAATCTTCTGGCTTGAATGCTTGCATGACTGTGACACTATTCGAGGCGATTTTGTGGAGCTTGAGGTTAGACTCAGCTAAGGATGCACATGTGCGCTTGAGCAGGTCGATGGCTACAGACTCTGTGGGAACTGAAATCAGCCCGTCATCGACATAGAAGTGTCTCCCGACAAAGTGTCTTGTGTCTGCTCCAAACTTTGCCTCACCTTCTTGGATGGCTCTTCGAAGACAATAGATGGCTACTGCTGGTGACGGGCTATTACCAAAAACATGTACCCGCATGCGGTACTCCTGCACCTCTTTTGACAAGTCATTGTCCTTGTGCCACAGGAACCTCAAATAATCTCTGTGGTCTGGTCTAACCAGGAACCCGTAAAACATCTGCTGGATGTCAGCGGTGGTTGCAATGAGCTCCTTCCTAAACCGAATCAGGACACCAAGGAGGGTGTTATTGAGATCAGGGCCTGTTAATAACACTGAATTGAGTGACACGCCGGACTGCTCGGCACTAGAGTCAAAGACCACCCGTATCTGACCGGGCTTCTGGGGATGATATACGCCGAAAATAGGCAGGTACCAGCACTCAGTGTTCTCATCAATGGGTGGCGCAATCTCTGCGTGGTTGTTTTTAAACAGCTTGTCCATAAATTCTGAGAACTGCTCTTTCATTTGAGGGTTTTTGGTTAAGTTGCGTCTCAGCGAGTTAAGTCTAGACAGTGCTTGGTCTCTGTTATTTGGAAGTGGCAAGCGAGGGGACTTGAATGGTAAAGGAGCAATCCAGTTATTGTTTCCATCCTGGTGGACTTCCTTTTCCATTATCTTAAGGAAGGTCTCATCCTCAAAGGACAGGGCATGCTGGTTGTCATACTCTGTGTGCTCAAAAACTTTCTCTCCAAGCTTTTCTTCTGCTGCGTTGAGTTTTGAACTGTGTTTTAAGAAGCTACTCTTGTGCTCCCCGCCATAGCATGGTTTTTCTTTGATCTTCATGCTGTTAGGACAAGGAGTGAGGAGAGATGGTCGTCCGTTAGACAGCACGTGAGTTTTATAGGCATTGACCGTTGGCCTGTGAGCATTGAGGCATACTTCCCCCACGATTACCCAGCCTAGGTCTAGGCGCTGAGCAAAGGGAGCGTTGTGGGGTCCGTTGACTTGTTGTCGTGCCTTGTGGACTTGTATGATGTCTCTGCCCAGTAAAACTGCAATCTGGGCTGCTGGGTCGCGCTTAGGTATCAGGGGAGCCAGATGTTTCAAGTGGGCATGGGCAAGAGCGACTTCAGGTGTAGGTATTTCATCTCTGTTAAATACTATCTCATCACATTCAATGAGAGGAGGAAGATCTAGACGTGGGCCTTCACCTATAGGCTCAATCTGGAACCCCACTGCTTTCCTGCCGAGCATTTGAGTTAAACCAGCACACGTTCTCATATGGTATGTCAGAGGGCTACCCTTGATTCCAAATAGCTCAAAGAATTCAGGACGTGCCAGCGAGCAATTGCTCTGATCATCAAGAATGGCGTACATCTTAACAGACCGTTCTGGTTGACCTTTAGGGAAAACTCGAACTAGACATACCTTGGAGCAAGAACGCGGAGGACAGCCTTCACCACAGATCTCAGTGCATCGTGACGTTACCTTGGGTAGAGTGTTGTCATGGAGCTGAGGCTCTGGTTCAGGTGCATTTTGTGGCTGGGGTTTTTGACCCGTGGCAGGGTGCATGGCAGAGCAATGTTTTTCACTTTGGCACTCCTCACACTTGACCTTCAGGTCGCAGTCCTTTATTGTGTGCATGGGAGAACAACAGCGAAAACATCGTTTGTGTTCTTTGAGTATGTTTTGTCTTTCTTGTAGTGGTTTGATCCGGAAAGCTCTACATTTGGCTAGAGGATGCGTTTTCTTGTGGACTGGACAATAACGTGTTAGATCATCCTCTCTGATACTAGCAGAGGCACTTGTATCAACCTCTGTTCTATCTACAGTTAGAGGTGATTTGTAGCTAGTTTGTTTGAATGGTGGTCTCTCACCTTTGTTGAGGGGTTGGCTGCTGCACGACACAAAACTTGGATCGTTTCTCGCTTTTGCCTCCTCTTGGACAAACTTTACAAAGTATGAGAATGGAGGGAATGTCACATTATAATTCTGTTTGTATTTTGAACCAGTGTGGAGCCATTTATCTTGTAAGCTTGGAGGCAGCTTTTCCACTATGGGCTTAACCCCGCGTGGCGAGTCGAGGTAAGCGAGGCCTGGGAGGTAGGCTTCGTCTTTAGCGACCTGCAGCTCTAGGAGCAAATCTCCTAGTTCCCTAAGTTTAACATTGTCTCTATTTGTAAGGCGAGGAAAACCGTCCAGTTTTTTAAACAGGGCATTCCCTACTACTTCAGGTGTAGCATAACACTCCTCCAGCCTATCCCATGACAACTGGAAGGCAGCTTTGGGGCTACTGGTATAAACAGCCCGGATTCTTTTAACATGCTCTGAGGACTCTTTACCGAGCCATTTGACTAGGAGATCTAACTGCTGGCTGTATGTAAGATCAATGCCTCCAGTTGCATTTAAGAATGAAGACTGCCATGCTCTAAAATTTTCGGGGTTGTCATCAAACTTAAAGAGCCCTGTTGTGATTAACTCTCTGCGTGCAAGGAACTTAGCAAAGTCAGCCATAGGTGTATCACTATTGTGAGGAGCATGGTGACTTTTCGGTTCAACATACTCTCTTGGTGGGCCAAAAGTTTCCTCCTCTGTGTACATTTTTGAGAGTACAGGTGGAGAGCAGGTTGGCTCCCTTGGAGTGAATGATGGTGCCTTTGCTGTCAGTTTGACTTGAGGTGTTGCTTCTTCAGCCGGGTGTGACTTTAGCTGGCTTTGATGTTGCACATACTCCATAGTTCTCTGTCTGGTAACTTGTGGTGGGACTGAACTTTTTAAACTTTCTCCTTTGTCTTGTTCGACAGCTGCGGCAGCTTCCAGGACCTCTGCTTTTACCTTAGCGGCTGCAGCTTTTTTTTCTATCTCTAATATCTGTAAATCCATTTCCAGGTTTGCTTGCTGCTTTTTAATTTCCAATTGTCTCTTACTGTACAAGGCTTTGGTGTTTGTAGCTTCAGCAGAAGCTCTTGCAAAGATGGCTGCTTCTAATACACTGGACCTTGAGGACAACTTGGAAGATGAGCGCTTGGAGCCAGAGTATTTGGATCGAGAGCTAGCTTCTGATGATGCTTTGTCTCCTGAGTTAGCCATTTCTTCTGCCTTCTCCCCGTGGGCATCCATCGCTGTGGCATAAACTTTATCTTCCACCAACTGCTGACGTGACTTTTCACTGTACTGTTATCGCTACGTGTTGGATACACCGTGTATGTTAACGCAGGTCAACAGCAAGCCAAACTCATTTTTCATGAGCCAGGAAACTGAGCGTCTTACTCCTTTATTACGGTCTTCTTGACAGCTTACAATCTTTTACAATTGTGGCTTGAATAGCTCGATGAAAGTGCTGAGTGAAACTAAAAATAAACCAGAAATAAAATACCATTTAGCTCTTTAACATGTGAAATAAATGCATAAAAAGAAATATCTATTAATATAAAACATGTTTCAAAGTTAGTCTTAGCTGCTAAGTAATGAAAACAGTAGTTTGAACAATCCTCTGATATGCAAATTAGGCCGCTAGCATCATTGCTATGTTAATAGACCATGCTCTAAGCAAAAGCCGTTTCTGGGATAAGGCTAATTCCTGGAACAAGCACAATCACAAAACGATCTCTAAATCAGCTGTTATGAACATATAAAAGAGCCAGAACATGTAATAAACTTACAGTCATTGCTTTCGATGATGTATATAAAGATTCAGGGCACAGGAGATGAAGTTTAAACACGGATAAGCAGGCTTTCTGTACAACGTTTTTTCCCAACTGACTGTAGCTTCTGCTTCCCACAATGCATTGTGAACACAGATTTCTCCTTCAAAATAAGATACAAACTAATGCTGACTGTATAGAAAATATTTTTTTTTAACTAAATGACTCTCTTTTTTAACATCAATTACCACAAATGAAATATGACGTTTTTATCACTAAATTATCATGAATCCTTTTTAATCTTTTACTTGGGACAGAACAGGAAGGTTTTCGAAAAGGTTAGAATAACAGTTCAGGTAGGCATCCAAAATAGCGTAAAAATGTATAAAAATTTATAAAAGTAACGTAAAAACAACTAACAACCGGTGAGCAGCGGCAGCCAGACGCGGCAGCGTTCACTCACCAGCGCCCCAGGAGAAAACTGGTAAATCTCTGGTGTCGGTCAAGCTGACCCAGAATCTATTCTGCGACGCACTTCTTGACACAAGTTGAAACTTTACACTGGTACCCCGAGCCATGTTCGATCGCATCTGCATTTCCTGCGAAAGGGGGGCCAGGCCCCCAGAACTTAATCTTGTCTTCTAGGTTCGAACTCCAAATATCAGTCGGGCCCATGACTCTGACACACCCGGTTTACATCTCCGACCATGCAAGGATGGCTTTCACCCTTGGCATGGACTTTCTGAGGCGCATTGGTGCGTTCATTGATGAGGAGGAGGGAGAGCTCTGGTCAGAGGTTGACCTGCCTTTGCCCGCGGCCCTGCCTCCGGACCTCCACTGTCTCACGGTTGGTAACTCTGAGCAGGTCGGAACACCATGTTCGCCACCTGGTTCAGAACTTTTGCCACCACAGATTCAGCTTCCATCACAGTTACAACCTGTTGATTTCTCTAACATAGCTGAAGCTCCTACCTCAGTAGTCGACCGAGACAAACAACAGCTTGTGTTAAGTTATCCTGATTGCAATAATCTTTCTCTTTCCACCATGTGTACAGGTGAACACCTCACCAGCAACATGGATGGCCAAAATCTCAGCTTTGACACTCGACTTCCACCAGAGAACTTCCTCAACGGTATTTCAACGCTTGTGCAGACCAGCTTGCCTCTCGGGGTGAGAAGGTGGACACATCATGGGCCCTGAAGCCCTTGTGACTCCCTGATGACTCCATCTTAAAACCATCTGAAGGGTTTGTGTCTGTTCAACTTGGCTTTTCTGTAAATGACCTTGTCAGTCTTCAGCTCCAGCATCCTGCTATCAGCGGGATGATCTTGAACCCTTTTGACCCAAAAGCTTTTCAACATCTTTCACAGGGTTCTGACTCTGTTCCAGAGCTGCGTGCTCTATCTTGTGCTCGTGTCATTTCTCTTTCAGGTGTTGTTGGCCGCTCGTGCTTCGGACTGGTGGGAGAAACCAGCATCTCTAGGATCAGTGATGTCCACAGAGCCTCTGTGGCCCCGACAGCTGAGATCCTGCTGGGATCGGGAGAGCCTCCCGATCCAGGGGGAGCTGATGCTGGCGGGGACGCTCCACCGATGACTCCACACCCTGTCGCAGGGAGAGTTGAGGGTGGCACAGAGACTCCAGCTGAAGCCCAGTACTCCGAGGTGGGGTCTTCACCTACGGAGAAGGGGGCGGACGCACTCACTGACCTTACTCCACTACAGCAGGCGACGATGACCTCTAAACTTCAGGTGGGTGAAACATCTACCGAAAGGAGGGTCAGATGTCGCCCTGTAAATCTGCTGGTGGACCCTGATCTCTCAGAATGCATCCGCGTGTCAACCGGGGACCTTCCCGGAAGCACATCTGCTCCAGATCCTCGTAAGCCTGCACCTGTCTATAGTCTAAAACATTCTTGGTTTCAGTCTTCAGGACAGATGATGTTGCTCGTGCTAGTCACATGTCTCTGTCTGTTTTCTCAGCAGCACTCTCTAATTCGACCCTGTGGATCTGGGTTCCCTCTGGGTGTCACATCCAGGGGACTCCCAGATATCTTGATGTCCATCCATCACTTGTGGTTCCAACCAGTTCAATCTGGTGGCGCTGTGACTTTCACTAGTGAGCGGGCTCTCCAGATCCTCATCAATATTCCTGTGTGTTCTTTCTGTCCTGCTCAACAGACAGGTCGTAAGATACCAGCAGGGGGCAGTAGGACTCCTCATGATCTGAGGGCTTCTCATCCTGACCTACAGTCCACATCCTGGTCACGCAATAGTCACCTCTGGTAAACTGGTCAATATCCTTTCGCAGAAAAGTTCAGGTCCAAACCTGGCAACTAAACCACTCTCTCCAGTCGTGTTTCTCATTAAGATCTCCAAAGGTAACAAAGCTCCCATTTATCTAAGGGTCCACAAAACCAAATTTAAACCGCACAAAAATCCAATTGATTTAGATTTTGTTTCAACCAATGAAGCTGACCACCAACTCAAATCGTGCCAAAAGGGGGGTGAACTTCCGTCCGCTCTCGCTGGGTTCTCTGATTTCGGATCACGTGAGTCCTGTTGTGAGTATGTGTGTGCATGGATGACTTCATGTCTAAACGTATCGTACAGGCTTTGTGAAATTTTGGCTGTGGTCTGCTGTGGTTTCAATAATCATGTGATTTCAGAACGTAACAGTAAAAAGTGGATGGCTCCACTATCTGGTATGTCGATCCAAATTCAATCAACTCTTTAATTCATCACTTTTGAGGTTTAATTATTGGATAACTGCCTTCAGCCAGTTATCTTGAGTACTAACCCTCACATTCAGGACCTGCTAACTCCACTGATTTACATTCTTAGTGTTGACACTTACATATCTATCTTTTTATAGTGCTTTTGTTAGGGTAATCAAGTTTGAGAACTTTAGGGATTAACTTAGTTAATTTCTCTTAAAGGTCTACAAGCCAATTTTGTCCTTCATTCTTATATAAAGCCTTTAATTAGTGCAGGTGATTTCTCCCGTCTGGCTCTCTGTCCAGGGTGTACCCCGCCTACTTGCCCGTTGACTGCTGGAGATATGCTTTTTTTTTCTTTCTTGGGGTGCCGTTGGTTGATCACTCCAAAATCATGATGTTTGGATGATGGCAGGTCCTTTAATTAGCACCCCTTGTGTTGGTCAGAGCCTAGACTCAGAGCTCCATTGGAGCTCTTGCCCAATCCGCATGTTTTTTTATGATACTTGAATACATCCTGTGATTCAGAGTATTTCATTATTCTTGTAATGTGAGATAAGATAAAGACATTCAGATACACTCAATGAACTTACACTGTACAGTTCAGTCAAGTGTTAGAAGGATAAATGGATCATGGGCTGAAGCAGTAAATAACTGGTTCACATTAAACTGAAAACGAGGACACAGCCCTGAGGGACTCCATGTTAATAAGTTTAATTTTCACTCACATGTTTACTGTTATGTATTAGAATGTACTGGAAATTTTTGATGATCTTAAACTTTGAGTCTGATGTGACGTCTTGCACACTAACAGCCACAGAGCTCTGATGTCTTCAACTGAAGCTGCAAATTTTCCACAAAATCTAAACTTGTTCCATCACAAAGGGGAAAAAAAAGAAAAAAAGCTGTTTCGAAACTCAAGGAGCTATTAGGTAGCAAATGTTAGTCCAGCAGATATGGTGTCATATTAATTGCAGCTTACCTGCAGCAATAGATACTCGCTTCCTTTAGGTTTATTTCATCTGGTTGTAATAATAAACATTCAGGAGCTTTGAGTGATGATTAAAGAGAAAATAAAAATCTACTTAATGGTAAAATGGCCTGTATTTGGGGCGAGGGTGGCACAGGAGTTAAGTGTTCGCCCCCGTAATCGGAAGGTTGCAGGTTCGAGCCCCGCTCTGTCTGTCGCTGTCGTTGTGTCCTTGGGCAAGACACTTAACCCCATTGCCTGCTGGTGGTGGTCGGAGGGACCGGTGGCGCCAGTGCTCGGCAGCCTCGCCTCTGTCAGTGCGCCCCAGGGCAGCTGTGGCTATATTGTAGTTCATCCCCACCAATGGGTGAATGACTGATTGTGTTGTAAAGCGCCTTGGGGGGTTCCAGGACTCTAGAAGGCGTTATATCAAATACAGGCCATTTACCATTTAATAATTTTGCTAAATGAAGAAATCTTTGGGTTTATTAATGTCAGCATTAATATAAAAGAAATACATATTATAGAAAAAAATGGAGTGACTTAAATAAATTTAACTCTTCTTGGTGTGACATATTTTTATAATCTTGAAAAACATCTTTCATCTTTTAATTTTTGATTTTTACACCCAATAAATCAACAAATGTGTAATTGATTCACTTAAACGTTAGCCTAAATGAGTTGGGATGCTTTTAAAAAGCATGTTTTAAGCTAATAATAGACATAACACCCAAACAGATCCTCATTTTGAAGTAAAGTAAACTAAAAGCCGATCCAAACATGCAGCTCTCAGCTTTCCTTCTACACGACAATGTCATTAAAGTCAGGTCAAGAACTGACTTTAAAGAGTCTCACATGACAGCTGATAGCTGCACCTGAGACCGATCGTCTCAGTTTGTAATGCCTGGTTTCCAGATTCAGACGGTGTCATCTCAGCTGTGACGGTTTAGCTCTTTTTACTTATTTATTATTCTTTTGGTCTCACATCTTTCTGTAAGAAGATGCTAACAAAAATCGTTTATTTTGTGCATTTATTTGTTCATTGTGTTATTCACATCCTTTTTGCAGCGTCCTTGTCTTTCCCTCTCATCAGTAACACAAGAACAGCAGTTTTGTGATTGCATAACGCTTACACTGCCCCCAAGTGGTTCAAAAGAAAATTACTACAGGTCTAAAAGAACTTTAGCTGTTACTGATTTATTCCCTGTTATTGTTTTTAAGCAATGATAATAAAATAAATTTAATAACAATAAATGCAAAAACATCTAGGTTTACTAATTTGTTATCATCATGCACACAATATAGAAAAAATAACAAACGCATTATGTGACAAAATGATATTGAAAACTGGTATTCTGATAAAGAAAAACGTACACACTGAAAATATTTCATCTTTTTAAAAAGGAGTAAAACTTCAAATTCATGGTTTGTGAAAGTCTTTTTAAAAAAAATAAATGGTTAGATTTTTTGCAACCAATTTATGGCTTTTGTGAAAAATCTTTAAAAGTTGGTCTGCTTTTCCAGGAAAAATGCAGAATATTTTGTCTTTATTGTACTTTTTAAAATTAAATATTTTAAATGTATTTCAATTTAACTGCAGTGTGGGACGTCTAAGCTTACACATGGGATTAATTATTGTTTAATGTTTAAAACGCTGATCAGGCACAATACAGATTTAGCTAAAAATTGCCTGACATTCAAAGTGAAGTTAACTTCAGTTAAAGTGGAAAATTGCACAAGAAAACGTTTATAAACGGAGTAAATCAAAGTAAAAATTCTGAATTTGTTTAAATATTGTTGTATAAATCATATACATATATTTATATATATTTAACACACTCCAAGTTGAATGTATTGCATTATATTTCAATTCCCAAACCTAAAAATCTTAAATTAATTAAATGTCAAGTTTTCTATTCATTTACATGTAAAATATTGTATCTTTCAAAATAAAATAACTTCCTGTCAAGGTTTTTATACTGAGAGCGAGCACCGGAAGTACAGCGCCTGCTAGTCACGAGCCGGCCTTTGACCACGCCTGTGATGCTGTTGGCTTCAGCAGCAGAGTGTGTATGCGCTGATGGTGGACCGTTCACGGTCATAAACACCGTAGATCTGCTCCGTTAAAATGCCTCTCAGCTGCGCGTAAGCTGACCGAAATTCGGCGAAGGGGAGAAAGCCAGGTCTCCGGACGGGTTTCGAGGAAAATACCAGCAGGATGTTGCAAGTTTTAGCTTGTGGCGTTGTAGTTTTCCCCGGTCTTTTCCTCGCTTTCAGGAGAATTCTGCCGAGTGTGTTCAAACACTGGAATGATGCCGATGTGGTGCTGGTCAGTGAGAGGTAAACTGGTTAAGTTATTAATAAAATATAGTTAATTTACCACACACCGGCTAAACTGCTAGCAAACGTTGAGTCGACGGTGCTTTATAGCTAGTACCGTTATGCTTAGTTAGCTTGATGTTTGTGCTCCCATGGGCTTCAAATGCCATTTTAGAATCGGATTTGAGTCTGTTTATTTTCTATAAATCGTAATTTCAGTTGTTTTTATTGTTTTGGTACAATGCTACTGTATTTGCAGAGGAAACACAAAGTACACATCAGCAGCTCTTTGACTTCTATGAAACTGGACGTTAGAAGTGCATTTTATGTGTTCATGCATGAGGATTTGTCTTTAAAGTCTACAGCACTCATGAGAAGTGCTGAGATGCATTCAGACCCAGTAAGTAAGCTAGGACTCGGGGAGGACATTTCCTGCTAGGACTGTACAACCCTCAGCTAAAGCTTTAGTGTGTGAATAAGCAAAATCGTTTACTGCATTAGCTCTTGTGTAGCTTTTTTGAGTCCATGAGATGTAAAAAGTCATTTTTTAAATGTTGGATGGTGGGTGAAGGGTTTTCATATGTACACACCACATTAGTACACTGTCATCTGGCTAATCCCTCCCTGAGCTCCACACAGAGCCTTCTGCTGAGCTAGCTGTGCAGTTTTAATACACTCCTGCTTCTGAACAACTAGTTTACTAATGCTCAGCTAACTGAAAATGTTACTCATACATGCACCCTTGCCTAAGGGGTAGGATGCAATAATTGTTCCATATCTGCCAGGATAATCCTTGGATTTAGTGGCACGATTTGAGCATTTTTACAAAAATAATTGGGTCTTTTTAAAGTTTTCAAGTATTTACTGAAGCTGTCTTCATCAAATAGATGACTGTGATTGTCTAGTTCAGTTAGATGTTTTAAGATGGTTAGGAAGATTTGTCGAATACCTAACATACTTTTTTTTTACTTTTCTTGGTGATATTTTATTATAAGTTAAAACAAATGCAGCATTTGATTGAATAAAGCGTTAAAATTTCATTTATCTTTGCTTTTAAGTGAAGTCTTTGTGCCTTTATCCATTTAAGCCTTAGCCTGTGGGGCAGTCATGGTATTTAAATGATCTCATAAGCACAACATGCAAAAGCCAGATGTAATACATAACCATATTTGTTACTCTGCATGAACTGCGTCTGTCCTTGGCCAACACATTGTTGCAGGAGAATTATTTTTCTATCGGGCTCAAGCACTGATTAAATAAGGGGAAAGTAAATAAAGTGGGCATGTGTGGCCGGCAGCTTGACATTTTTGAGGTTTTTGACACATAAGTTCATGATAATCGTGGAATGCGTTTTCAGTAAAACTGTTTAGTCAAGCTGTAGTTCTCTTTGTTTGGTGTGTAAACACGAAGCGTTGACATTATGTTGTTGATACAGGACAAAACTTTCCATTTGATGCAGTACCAAAACCAGTTTCCATCATAATATTAGATCATGTCAGCATAAGCTCTGATGCTGGTCTTTCTGCTATGACTTGAGGAGCCTTCATGTTTAAAAAAAACCCAGTACTGATTCAGTTCTAGCTACTACGAATACTACCAGAACCAACCTGAAATAAAATATTTCTGTTAAAGCGGCACCACATAACGTGTCTTTTAGGCATTCCCTTTTCTTGAAGGGTTTAGCTCAAGTTTTGAAGTATTATTCCTTAAACAAAGTGAAATTATTCCATTTCACTTTTATTTTTTTGTAAAGTGAGTAGATGGTTGCATTACTAAACCTTGAACTTAGATTCAGAATCCTCAAAGGGATACTAGACCAGTGTTTCCTCTAGGAATTTTTCCAGCTGTGGCGGGGGGGGGGGGGGGGGGGGGTAATTATGACACGTCTCTAAAAAAAAGTACAATTTTCAAGTGCAGATTGGAGACAACCCATAGAAGCACTGATTTGATCTCATTTCAGAGAAAAATAGAACAGGTCAGATGCACCTAATGAATAAAATTACTAACAAACTCAGGAATCTTTCTTTGCTTCACTGTTCTGGTGCTGAAAACATCACTAATGCGGATCAAAGGAGACACACAGATGAGTGCACCTCTTATTTATTATTTGGAGACTACATTTACTGCAGCTGGCAGACGCAGAGATTGTTTCTATTGATACATGAATTTACAGAATCATTTTAAATGTTAATAGGGGAAGACTGCAGGAGGGAGCGGTAAAATACAGGGGGTCCCCAGCAAAAACAAGAAACTTTACGAGTCTGATGAAACCCGCTGGTTTTCCATCAGGCAGTCACGGGGCAGCTCCAACGACCCAGTGGCTGTGCTGGGTCAGTTATCGAGCTCAGTCCGGTACCGGCTCGGCCGTGAACGAGCCGAGGCGACGTCGTGCTCTGCTTAAGAAGAGGTGTTATTTTCCCGCTTCAGAGGAAGCGTCCAACGTGTTTTTACGCTTTCTCCGAGACATCTCACGTCGCTAAGTTGTTAGCGCCGCGTGCTAACACGTCAATAGTGCAGCGTAGCCTGCTGGAGGTTTTAAGGGTTCAGATGAAAACACCCGACCTCTCAGGCTGCTCACACATCGATCTTAAGTTGTCGCTGTTGCGCTCACGCCGTAATACAGTATTAGATGCGGTTAAAGTCAGACATGAAAAAAAAAATAAATTTTACATGAATAGGTGATGCTTAGCCTGGCGGGGGGAGGAAAACCTGGCCTAATAAGTACTGGAGGAAACCCTGTCAAGGTCGTCAACACTCGTTTATCTTAATGCTGCTGAAACATGTAAACGTAAAAGCATTATATCCACTGCTACCTTTCTAATTTTAAACTCAGTAACTTATGCTGTAACTTCACCTTGCCCTGCCTGCTCCTTTCTTCTGGCTGCCCGCCGGCTGTGATCACAAGCTACAACATAGTAGTTCCCGCTGCTTCTTCAGGAAACAGCGCAAAAAATAATAATAAAAAATGAATAAATAAAATTTGGGATCTTGTAGGCGTGGCGGTAAGATCCCAAGACGAACACACAGTAAGAAGATAGTTTCAGCTCTACAAACGGACACTAGGGGGTGCTAAAAGCAAGCCAAAATGTCCTAGTCTCCAATTAAAGCTTTCATTTGCTCATTTTTTAACAAATTAGCTCTAGTATCACTAAATGCCTTGAGTCATTTTCTGTGGAACAAAGCTCTTTCAGGGGCAGAGGTTCGTCGTCGTCAGCGGCGGGGCATAAAATGAGAGAATTGCAAATCTTACGAAGTCTGGTTGGCTAACAGTAATGCAACTTTCCTGCTGCCTTTAAAGGTACTGTAGCAAATTTACAGAACAAGCTAGATTTCAAACGCAAACACGGTCACGGAACACTCACCCCTTCAGTCAGGTATCATCCCTGGGCCGCGTCCGCCAAAACTGGAAACCTGCATTACCAGACGACACGAGAGAGCGCCAAACACCAGTCACAATTTTTTTCGGTCCAAACATCTTTTGTTGTCCATGACTTCAAATCTTGATTTTCTTTTAGGGACTCGGGTAGTTCATCCTAAAGTTAAAGTGGTAGCAGCTGGCTGTTTCTCCTTCTCTGATATTATCCAGCAGAAAACCTCTCACACTAGTGGTGTTCTGCTTCAAAAAGCTCCAGCGGCTAATGAGTGGAGGTAAGTGTGGAAGTGCAGATGGTCCAATAGCTTTGTAAAAAGTTTTCTTATTGGAGGTTTTTAGAACCACTTCATTTATTTTTATTCATTTTTTTAAGCTCCACAAAATTTTTATAGATTTACTACATTAGAATGTTCTTAGGAGACATGAAACTTTTTTTTAAGCTAGCTTGTTTTCCAAAATTGCCATTGTAGCTTTAATAGGACTCAGAATATTGTTAACACATATTTTCTATGGCAAGTGCAACGTTGATGTTTTATCTCTACAAATAACACGAACCTGAACATGTTCCAACTTGTTGTGGAGTTGCTGATGCTATTGGTTATCTTCTACTAGTGATGTGACGTTCACGAACGAATCAAATCTTTTCAACGGGTTTTCAAAGTGAATGATGAGAGCCGAGTCCCTGTAGAGAGCTGTTCATCTTGTCTTCCGGTAACAAATCTCCCCGGAAGTTGCACCCGCTCAAACCCCACCCACAGCTGTGACAGAGGTAGGAACCCTAACCAACCCCGTGCGCCGTCACGGACACCGCAGGAACACGCTGCTCTTAATACCGTCTGGGCTGTTGTCTCCTCGGTTAAGTTTTATGTAATAACTTTGGTGGGTGCTTAGGAGAACTCTCTGTGTTGAACCTTTTTAGGTGTAAAGGAAACTTTACCCTCTGCTTTGCTTTAAATAAGACATCACTCAGTTAAGGAGATTATGTGATGGTCTTTCCAAGTTTTAGTATTAATTGGGTTAATGAGAGTTTAGTTGTTAATAGTTTTGAGTTGCTGCAGTGTGTGTGTTTTGATCATCTGTGTTTTGTGTTTATATTTATGTAAATAAATGTTGTTTACTTTTAACACGAGAACTTGCGACCTCAGTTGTTACCCCAGGCGCCCTAGACAGCCTGGAGCGTAACAGTAAGCATCGTTGTATCTACAAAGCAAATTTTAGAAAGTTACTCATTTCTTGCTTTACCGTCAGCATATGTTTGGAAAGTGTTGCATAATAGAGAAGTTGTGGTTATTGACCAGTTATGTGAGGATTCGCTTGCTGCTTTTATTTCTGTGAAGGCCTGAACAAGGTTTTGTTTTGGCTCTGAGCTGGTGCCGTGTAAACAGTCTCAGGGATATGGGCACCAACCCAGGGTTGGTTGTGGTTCTTAGCTTCTTTCTGTTTTAGGTGAAAGTTACTGAAGTGCAGGTGTTTGTGTTTCAACCCACACTTTTGTCTTTTATTGCTTCATCACTATTATTAAACTTGATCGTTGTGTTAACCCACTTAAGATTCACACAAACAGATTAAACGATCACAGTGTTTCCCCTAGGAATTTTTCCAGCAGGGGGAGGGGGGGAGATTATGACACGTCTCACCTTTATGTTAA